ACTATATTGTTGAGTTAGGCGGGTAAAAAATGCTTCTAATTATATTTTTGTGTAAATTTCCCAGAAAATAATGGGGATAATTTCATGAGTTTTACATACATAAAAGTAAAACTAATGTGATAGTATCCTGGAGTTCGAATTTGAAAAATTGAAATTCCATCACACTGTGCCAGACTTTTGAAATTCCAGCACATTTTACTTCTAATAAGATTATGAATTTTTGGTTCCTACATTAACAAATCTTCACTACATCAAATATATAATGAATAATGTACAAAAATTACTTTATTTTAACACACACACAAAAAAAGTAGATGCATGGTTCAATTAAATTTTTCGAAGTGCAAATTCTGTTTTGTAAAAAAATAAAATAAAAAAATAAATAAAAAAATATGCTTATAGGTCAGACATCATGAAAATCATTTTCGAAGTTTGACAAATGACAACTAAGAGGTAGAATACAATTTTCTCCAATTAGAATGATACTCTACTAGTTACGACGATGTAACTTTATTGGCAAGGATAAGAGTGGCAATCTTTGGTCAAAAATGCAATTTTAAAAACATATAAACTAAAGAATTTTCATATCCAAAAAAAAAAAAAAATACACCCTAGAGGAATCTATCTATCTATCTATCTATCTATATATATATATATATATATATATAGATAGATAGATAAGCTAAGAATAATAGAAAAGTTTAGAAACTCCAAAACATAAAAACAAAACTAAAACATAAGCTAAGAATATAATACTAAAACAGTTAAACGGGAAATCTATCTATCTCTCTNAATATAAAACCATTTGGCAATTTAGGACAATATTTGTTATAATATTTAATTTAAATTGAAAGATAGGATATTTCTTTAATTTAGATAGAAATATAGTAAATAAGATTCGTTTGAATTTGAATGCAAAGAAAATTAAATTTGAATTGATTAATTAATTAATTAGGAAAGTTAATCAACACATAAATGTTCCAATTCAAACAAAAGGCTCACCGAGTGAGGCGAATTATTCTAAATAATGAGAAAGAGTTTTTTGAAATTTGAGTTCACAACAAAAACAACAGAAAAAATAAAAACGTGTTTGTTACTAGAAATAAGACTAAAATATCTAGATTCGAACCCATAGTTATAATTACCGAGTTGTTGGATCAAAACTTAACTTTCGTAAAGTGATCGATAGTGTTCACTTTTGTGTGCCCTAAGACGTTAATTCAACAAATTTAAGTATAACAAATATGAAATTAAAGATTTATACTATATTAGTAGTGATAATAGAAGAGAGAAAATATAAATTGAAGCATCAACTTGTATGGTAATCAATAAAGAAAAATTTGTTTTGGTAATAGAGCATTTTTTTCACCAATCAGTAAACTCAATGGTCAAATCAATATATATATATATATATATATACATACATATATACATACATACATACATACATACATATACATATACATATGCATATACATATGAAAGGAATAATTTGCGTTGTGGCTAAGCTAAGTGTGTAGTGGCATGCTACTATAAAGTTATTTGACAATTTAGGATAATATTTATAATAATATTTAATTTAATTTAAAATTAAAAGATAATTTTTTTAATTTAAATAGAAAGATAGTAAATACGATTATTTTGAACCTGAATGGAAAGAAAGAAAAATAGTCTCATAATGATATAACCAACTACCCTATATTAATTAATAAGGTTTTGACCATACAGAAAAATTGAACTGAAAGATAAAAACAACACCCCTATCTTAACTCATTATAAAGATAAATATGGAGGTATTATCAATAGATACTACGAGTATGTAGTACTCCATTTATCTAAAATATAAAATAAAAATAATAAATAAATGATACTCAAAAACATTATTGATAAATTTAAATATTAATTTGAGCAATAGAATAAAAAAATAGTGAATATAATTTTAATTACAAGAAAAAAAGAAACTAAATTCATCTATTAATGGAAGTTGTGGACAATAATATGAACAACTCTAAGCTATGGGTAATGCAATAGCATGAACAAAGAATCAAAAAAAAAAAAAGATATGTAATTAAATACTTTCAGTAGTAGATGTAAACATAATGATAAGACTTATTTGATCTTTGAGAAGAGAAAATTTTTAAAATAATAATGAACTAAGTCATGGTTTGGAGTTAAATACTTTTAAAATTATTCTCAGAAAGAGAATGGTCACATAAATGCAGTTTGATTTTTTCAATTTTAAAGTAACTCCAATAATGTTGGAAGGTAGTTGATCAATTATAAAATTACACAAGAATAAAGAAATTGTGTTGCCTTATGGTAAAATTAATTATTCAATATTTTATAATTTATTTTATATCTCAATTGTTTGGAAGTACATACATTTGTTTGTTTTTTTATTTTTCTATCAGTGCTAGCAGTTGCTATGCTAAAATATATAAGAAGGGAGGATATATTCTTTTCTAATGGCTCAGGTATGGACAATGACTTTTTAGCCCGTTATTGATATTTATGTTCTCTCAAATTGTATGAGCCAATTGGTCGAGCAACCGGCGGGGTCAATATGTGTGTGTGTGTGTGTGTGTGTGTGTGTGTGTGTGTGTCAATTAGAATGAAATAGATTTGGATAGGGCAAGCACATAGAGGAATATAATTACACTATTTGGGATTGCTATTTACACAAAATAAAATTCATTCAATTAAGAATTACATGTAACAACTCATCTTCTTTTAGTACATGTGCATCGTAGAAGAAATTTTTTTAAAGTAGGTTAATATTTATTTAATTATAATATATTATATTATTTAAATTGTTAAAAAAGTGATTTTAATTATGTCGTTAAAATTGAAGTAACTAGCAAAATTATTGAGCAAATTACGATCCAATTGTTTTATAAGTTGGTAACTAACAAAAGTTAGAATATATTGGTTGTTAATCATGTATGTATATATTAATTTGTCATTGTGTAATTTTAGGTTGGTAGAAGTTGATGTGTATGTGAGAAGTTGTTATGTTGAGATAATAATATAATATATTTTTATAATTTAAATTAAGATATTACTAAATGTATTTTTATTAGTTATTACTATATATAGTATGACTTCACTCAGTTTCAATATAGATGAGATAATTTGATTTGACACGGAGTTTAAGAACGAAAAAGAAGACTTTTGAAACTTATGATAACAGTTTTGTATGGCCACGATATTTGTATGGATGTAAGAACTTCTCATTATATATAAAATGGGTAAAATAAAAAAGTGAAATTAAATTATTTTCAAATACATAAATGTATCATCTTTTGGAACAGACTAATAAGAAAAGTATTTTATGCAAATTAAAAAGGGAAGGGGTATTTATTTTTGAATCATATTTTATTTTTATTTATTTGTATCACCGACTATATATGGAGTTATAATATTAAAGCTTATGTCAATAGTTTTTCATATAATTTGTTCTTTTTAATTTATAGAATTTAGCAGGATCATAATATTATCCGCACATCCTGCGGGTACTAATACTAGTAGAACTAAAATTGGAAAATTTACACAAATGTCCCAAATAAGTCTCAACTTACCAACATCTAGCCACTAATCATAGACTTACCAAAATTAGCCAAGTACATATAAAAATTAAAAAATTAAATAAATAAGGATCTTTCTCTCAAAGAATAACATGTAAAAATCTCCTTCCATATTTTTAAGCGTGATTAACAACATTAGATGCAAGACGAAAAGGAAATTTCATGGATGAGGTAACAACTAAGGCGATGAAATAGAAAAAAAAATATTCCAAAATCCTAAGTAAAAAAGGAATTTTTTTCAATGGGTATAGTTGAAATTCATTGAAAACATATAGATAAGTCAATATACAAAATTTGAGCAAGATTGGGGGTGATTTGGACTAGTTTTGTATCAAAATTCGTAATTAAATCGAGTTCAAAAAATTCTTCTGTGACACATGTATCTCACACACAGGTATATATGAATATATATGTGATCCACAATTGATACAAATATGCTACATATGTGATACATAAATGATACACATATATTTTTTTCATGTTCAGTTTTTAGTTTGAATTTTCAATTCAGATCACCTCAAAACTTCACCAAATCATTCCAAAACTGAGATTCAAGTTCCTTAAGATGTACCCAATCTATCTAATAACACCCACTCAAAAGAAAACAAAAATTTAACTTTTTTTTGGTTACAAATAGCTAATTGGCTAATATTAGTAATATTTGGTTAATATTAATAATATTTTATGAATTGACCAATTTTTGTAATGAGTTACTTATAAATGGACATAGCTAGTAGTTTCCCAATAAAAGGAAATTATCAGAAAGAATAAAAAGCCCAACACGGTTCGATCAGAATCTAACCCAAAAAAGTGGTTAGAGGTCATGAGCTTGGCTGGACCCATCTTTTAGTAAAAATAGCACGGGCTAGCCAGTTTTTGGACTGGTCATTCAAAAATAGCTAGCGTTTGCAAAGTCATTGAAAAATAGCCACTATTTTGCTGCAACAGAGATCGGTCCTACATAATACACATGAGATCGATGCATCTATGTATGAACTTCCAACATATTATGCTGGAACTCAAACACGCGAAAAGTTCCAGCATAATATACTGGAGATTGGAGTACTTGTGTATAAACTTCCAGCATATTATACTGGACCGGTATATTATAATGGAACTCCAGTATATTATGATGGAGTTCCAATATACTTATGCTGGAACTCCATTATAATATGCTGGAGTATTTTCCGGATTTTGAATAGTATTTTCGTTCAGATTTATCTTTACATGAAACGTGATTAAATTTCGATTACTTTTGAAATTGCGGCTATTTTTGAATGATCACTTATAAATTTGACTATTTTTGAATTTATCCCGTCTTTTTCTTCACATATTCACCAACTCGGCCCAGCCCGTTAAGAGAGGGGAAGGATAATAACCCGGTCCAAGCCCGTGTACAAACACTCTATATATAAACCCTAGAATCCCACCAAAACCCCTATTTCTCTCTGTTTGGTATTCAAAGTCAAAACAAGGTTTTCATCTCTCTCTGCTATAGTTATAGTTGTTGATTACCAATGGATTCTCAACCTGTTGAACCAGTCAGCTACATCTGCGGAGGTACTTAACATTCCTATTTTTGATATTTGCGGTGTCTTTTTTTTTTTTTTTTTTTTTTTTTTTTTTTTTTGTTTGAACGAGCTTTATTATTGGATTTTGCAGATTGTGGACAGGAGAATACCCTAAAGCCCGGTGATGTGATACAGTGCCGTGAATGTGGTTATCGTATTCTCTACAAGAAACGAACCCGCAGAAGTATTTAATTTTCTCTCTCTAACGCTTTTATACCCTTTAATCTACTCTTTTTTTTTAAATTTTATTTATTAATTAGTAATCGCTCGATTTAGGGATTTGTTCGCCTTATCTTGTCTGGCAACAATGTTATAAACATAAATTAAGTTGATTTAAGTTATCAAGCTGACCAAAAAACCTAGATTATAATTTAAAAATCATTGAATTTAGGATTTATCATGAAACTGCCAAGTTTTACGCTAGCTGCCAGCCTACTACAATTATCCTTTATCCGAGCTTGAGACCGGCAATCTGACCAAGCTCACACGCACCAACCTTAACTTGTATACTAGATTACTAGTAGCTACTTTCCTTAATGATGTCGGTGTTCGGGCCAGCTTGCTTGCACCTCAATTAACTCTATTGAATGCCTCTACCACCCACCAACACAGGTATTAGAGTTAATAACTCTGCCCATCAACACTTGGGTAGATTGGAAGAAATCACCTAGTGTTATTTGCCTCTGTCATTCTGTTAGGATTTGGACCTGCCTAGTGCTTCATGTTGTTATAATACTAAATTTAGGGATTTTATGTTTAAGGCTTGAGCTGGCATAGATGTTTCACTTTCTTTGGAAAGAATTTTATAATCTAAATTCATGCCTATTTCTGAGGCTTATAGGTTTTCGGAACCTTGTAGGGTCAACCCCTTTTGGTATTGTAGTGATTCAGTTCCAGTAGGATTTTTCCTTAAGAATAGATTAGCAGCTTAAGGCTTGTGGCTCTGTTTGTTCTTACTTTGTTAGGCTATAGAATTGAGTCTCAAAGGGTGTTGGATAAATTGGTTGATCTTAGAAATATTGAATTTATAAAGTACTGTAATTTTTGATTAAGTGAATTTCAGGTGCTATTCACTCTCAATTAATGGGATGGCAGGGAACAGCAATGCTGTGCTTCTATTGAGTTGTACAAACTTCATTTAATGTTGAATTGTTGTTAAAAAGAACTCTCAGAAAAAGGTTTAACAGTCTCAAAATTATGTGGTAATCATAATTGTGGTTTTATGATTATTTTTATTGTGTTTATTAAGTAATGCTTGCTAATTGGTAAAGACAACCATGGAACTTATCAACAATTAAGTAGTATTTTAAGTTCTTTGCCTCATATAGTGTCCTTAATATGTCAGTGTCTTTTAGTGTTATAGACTTATAGTTGTCTTGATTCATTGATTGGCTAGTTGTGGTTGGCAGATAGGAAATAAAGTATTTTTTTGGTAACTAAAACAAATTTTATTTACCAACTCAGTGATATGTACAACTAAAAACGAAACTGAAACTTGGACAGAGCTCCCAAGTAACAGAAGCCAAAAGCCTATCTATGCCTCACTTTCTCAGTAACCTAAGGTTCTAAGGATAAAAATTCAAGGAAATAAAGTTAAATAGCAACAAAATATTATTGGATAAAACTGAATATGTTTGCAGATAACTGGAGCATATTGTTCATGGTGGTGAACTAGATTTTTTTCTTTTTGAGCATTTTAGGTGAATTTCCCGTTGATATCTGGTATAAGACATGACTTGTTTGTTTAAACTATATATACATGTGTTCAGCTGACATTAACCATTGTTAATGGTCCACACACTGTTAGCAAATGGTGGAGTCTCTATTCAAATGTTAAACTAATAAAGGTTGTTTCAGAGTCTAATCCAGGAGTTTATAAGAGGATGTGGAGCACTGTTACACCTACTGCTCTTTTGAGGCTTTAGTATAAAGTGTAAATATATATGTACTTAAAAATCGCTCAACTCTTCAAAAAGGTAGCAGGTGAGCCCGCATCCACTGATGTGCTCCAAGTCCTCCACTGGATTGTGATTTGCAATTTCTTTTTTTGGTTGATAGCAACTGCGATAGCATGGAAGATCAGAAAGATAAATTTGGGAGTACTAGTCCTAAGATGGTGTTAATTGTTACTCTCTCCGTTCCAGTTTATGTGAACCTATTTCCTTTTTGTTCCGTTTCAAAAAGAATGATCCATTTCTAAATTTGGAAATATTTAAGCTTAACTTTCCAATTCTACCCTTAATGAGAAGCTTTTATAACCACACAAATACTCTGGACCCCCTTTTGACTTGTTTAAGACCACAAATTTCAAAAGTCTTCATTTTTTCTTAAACTCCGTGCCCAGTCAAATAGGTTCACATAAATTGGAACGAATGGAGTATGTGTTATAAGAATATTAAATTATTGTGGATGTCTACTCTCCTCCATTATTTCCATAACTCCCAATACTCTAATAATTATGGAGTTATGATTGTAATTCCATGATCTCCTTCATGATCTTCCTCTCAAATGCTTAATGACATATTCAATGACATATTTTTCATCACTTTTCATGCCTATATAAAGGCCTTGTAATAAATAGAAAAATACACACAATTGAAGAAGAAATAAGAATCTTCTCTCTCTCTCTATATCTCTTAGCTTGTTTTTCCTTGATCTATATTGTTACTTTGAGTTATATTTTATAATACGTTATCAACACGAGACTCTACCGTCTCAAGAAGATATTTGAGAAGACTAAGGTATAATTTTTCTCAAATTTGTTTTTTTTATTATGATTGATATTATGAAAAGAAAATTCGTTGCCCTTGAAATTCCGACAAGAACAATATGACATGGGCGTTGGATGCTGAAATCCATTTAGATGCAATGAGTCTTGAAGACGTCATTAAAGATAAAAAATAAAGCATCTACCTAAGACTGTGCTAAGGCCTTGATTTTCTTGCGCCATAACTTTGATAAAGTGTTGAAAATAGAATATCTCACAGTCAAAAATCCACTTGTTTTGTGGAATGGCTTAAAGGAAAGATATGACAACTTAAAGTTGGTCACTCTTCCACAAACACGATATGATTGTGCTCATCCAAGGCTCCAAGACTTTTAAGTCTGTTTTCTGAATATAATTCTGCAATATTCAGAATTACTTTTAAATCTGTGGAGATAATATGAGTGACTATGATATGCTTGAAAAAACGTTCGCAACGTCGCATGCCTCCAATATGATGTTGCAATAGCAGTACCGAGAGAAAGGTTTCAAGAAGTACTCTCTGTTGATTTCTCTTCTATTTGTGGCCGAACGAAACAACAAATTGCTTATGAGAAATCACGAAAATCGACCCACTAGGTCTACACCATTGCCTAAAGTGGATGAGGTGTATTCCCATTATGCTAAGCGTGGATAAGGTCGTGGCCATGTTTGTGGTCGTGGTTGTGGCTATGGCTTAGGAAGAAATTTTCCTGGTGTTAATCATTCCCCAAAGAAAAATAACTTCCAAAAGTGGAAAGAGAAATATGAGAAGCCAAATGCAAATGGTTCAGAAATTGAATGCTATCATTGCGGTAGAAAAGGTCATTGGGCAAGGCATACCAAAACATTTGGTTGAGCTTTATCAAGCATCTCTAAAGAATAAAGGCCCTGAAGCTAATTTTGTTTATGACAATGAATTTGACATCACTCACTTCGATGTGGCAGATTTTATTGATCACCCTGAGGGAAAGATAAACCACTTAATCGGTGATGGAACTGTGGTTAAAGATGATTGAGCAGTTTGATTTTTATGTTTTCGTATTCGTAGTATCTAATGAATAAACATCATGTAATTTTTATTGCGCTCAATAATTCTGCTTATGTAGTTCTTAAAAATATATGTATTTCCGAAAAGAAAAAAAATTGAAGAGTCATTGTTTCACAAATTTCACAAACAAGGACTAATATCTAATTAATTAGTGTCCTTGTCTTAGTGAAATATAACTCAAAGTAAAAATATGGAACAAGGAAAAACAAGCTAAGAGATATGAGAGGAGATTTTTATTTCTTCTCCAATTGTGTATTTTCCTATCTATTTCAAAGGCCTTTATATATGCATGAAAAATGAAGAAAAATATGTTATTGAATATGTCATTAAGCTTTTGAGAGGAAAATCACGGAGGAGGTTATGAAGTTACAATCTTAACTCCATAATTATTAGAGTATTGGAAGTTATGAAAATAATGGAGAAGAGTTGACATCCACCATAATTTAATCTGACACATCCAAGTGGGTGATGACAACTTCATTTTCATTGACAAAATTAGCTTCATGGCCTTTATTCTTTAAAGATTCTTAATAAAGCTCAACTAAATGTTTTGGTATGCGACAAATATTTGCCCAATACCCTTTTTCACCGCAACGATAGCATTTTCTGAATCCTTTGTGTTTGGCTTCTCATATTTCCCTTTCCACTTTTGGAAGTTATATTTCTTTGGGGAATGATTAACAACAAGAAATTTTTTTCCATGGCTACGACCACGAATATGGCCACGACCTTTTCCACGCTTAGCATAATGTGAATACAGCTCATCCACTTTAGCCAATAATGTAGACCCAGTGGGTCGATTTTCGTGATTTCTCATAAGCAATTCGTTGTTTCGTTCCGCCACAAGTAGAAGAGAAATCAACTTAGAGTACTTCTTGAAACTTTTCTCTTGGTACTGCTGTTGCAAGACCATATTGGAGGCATGAAACGTTGTGCACGTTTTTTCAAGCATATCATAGTCACCGACATTATCTCCATAGAGTTTCAAGTTAGAAGTAATTCTGAACATCACAAAATTATATTCAAAAAAGACTTAAAGTCTTGGAGCCTCAGATGAGCCCGATCATATCGTGCTTGTGGAAGAGTGACCAACTTTAAGTTGTCATATTTTTCCTTTAAGCCATTCCATAAAACAAGTGGATCTTTGACTGTGAGATATTTTATTTTCAACCCTTCATCAAGGTGATGGCGTAAGAAAATCAAGGCCTTAGCACAGTCTTGGGTAGATGCTTTATTTTTATCTTTAATGGCGTCTCCAAGACCCATTGCATCTAAATGGATTTCAGCATCCAACACATATAGTTGCCCGAAATTTCAAGAGCAACAAATTTTCTTTTCACAATATCAGTCATAATTAAAAAAAAAAAACAAATTTGAGAAAAATTATATTTTAGTCTTCTCAAAGATTATACAAAGGGAGCTTTGCAATAACTGATAAAGTTGTTGACATGTGACCAGGAGGTCACGGGTTCGAGCCGCGGAAACAACCTCTTGCAAAAATGTAGGGTAAGACTGCATATAATAGACACTTGTTGGTCCGGCCCTTCCCCGGACCCCGCGCATAGCAGGAACTTAGTACACCGGGCTGCCCGTTTTAGTCTTCTCAAAGATCTTCGTGAGACGGTAGAGTCTCGTGTTGAATAACGTATTATGAAATATAACTTAAAGTAACAATATGGAACAAGGAAAAACAAGTTAAGAGATATAGAGAAGAGATTCTTCTTTTTTCTTCAATTGTGTGTATTTTCCTATATATTACAAGGCCTTTATATAGGCATAAAAAGTGAAGAAAAATATGTCATTGAATATGTCATTAAGCATTTGAGAGGAAGATCATGGAGGAGGTTATGAAGTTACAATCATAACTCCATAATTATTGTAGTATTGGGAGTTATGGAAATAATGAAAAAGAGTAGACATCCCCATAATTTAATTTTCTTATAACACTCTCTCTTGGATGTCCATAGATAATGTGCCTCATTAAAATCTTATTGGAAAAAATCCTAGTGAAAGAAAAATAGTACACATATTTAACATTTATGAGGTGACATTTCTGGTGGCGTGTTTATTATCTGTCATGCCTATAGCAACAACAATGACTTAAAAAATATGCTGTAGGTGATTTAACTTTGCTTCTTTTTCTCTCCTCCACTTCCAACTTTTTTATCTTATGTAGAGTGCATAGTGCTTTATGGTTTCTTATTGGACAAAGGACCCACACATTAAAAGTGAACATCCCAAAACCAACCGATACCTTATCCCCGCTGTTTCCCTTGCCCGTGGAGCTGGCACCGGCTGATGTGGAGAATGGAAAAACCAATTTTTTCGCTTGAAGCAAAAGACTAAGTGGGCGTTTGGACATAAGAATTGTAAAATTTCAAAATAGGGAAAAATTTATTTTCAAGTGAAAATTGTATTTAAAATTTAGAGTTGTGTTTGGACATGAATATAATTATGGGTTGTTTTTAAAGTTTTGTGAGTGATTTGAGTGAATTTTGAAAAACAGCTTTTTGGAGGTTTTCAAATTTTTGAAAATTTCCAAAATGCATCTTCTAAGTGAAAATTGAAAAATTATGAACAAACGCTGATTTCGAAATAAAGTAAAAAAATTTTGAAAAAAAAGGGAATAATTTCTTATGTCCAAACGGGCTCTAAATGTAACTATTATTGGAAATACACATGTTTAGAAATACGTCTTTTCATGGACAACAAAAGGTGTATTTCTGAACATGCGAACTCTTTTTCCTTCACTAAGATTTTTTTTCATAGAATTTTTCCTAATAAGGTTTTAACGAGGCACATCATGTATAGACATCCAAGGGGGAATGTTATAAGAAAATTAAATTATGGTGTATGTCTACCCTTTTCCATTATTTCCATAACTCTCAATACTCTAATAATTATGTAGTTATGATTGTAACTCCATAACCTCCTCCACAATCTTCCTCTCAAATGATTAATGACATATTCAATGATATATTGTTCTTTACCTTTCATACCTATATGAAGGCCTTATAATAGATATGAAAATACATACAATTGAAGAAGAAATAAGAATTTCTTCTCTCTCTATATCTCTTAGCTTGTTTGTTCCTTATTGTTATTTTGAGTTATATTTCATAACATTATGCATATATTTGCTTTTCTTTTATGTAAATCTAGAGATTCTAAAGTTAAATGAACCATTACTTAGTACAAGGTTTCAGGTCTTATTAACAGTGTTACAACAAATCAGGATGTAGACACTGTCTCGAAACATTTCTCTACTTTCTTGCCATTAGGATTGAATCCAACCTACAGTATTTTATTCTCTGTGTTTTTTCTTCTCAAGCCTTCTTCATTTCTACATGTATTACTGTGTCCTAAGGCTATGGTGTTTTGGTGCAGTTGTGCAGTATGAAGCTCGGTGATGCTTGAAACCAATTCAGTGTCAACGCGCAATTGATCAAGAGAAGCAGCTAGTCCTTTTCTTATGGAAGTACAAAATTTAGCATGTAATAGCTATTAGCTATGGTGAAAAAAAATGCTTTTCAGCATGAACTTTCTTTGTTGGTGCATTGGCAAGTTCAATGTAAACTCACACTATGGTTGAGTCATGTGGAAAGCTCAAATTTAAAACAAGATCTTGTGCAACATTTGGTATATTAAAACCTTCGTAACTTTGTGTTTCCTTGTGAATGTGTTTTATTTTATTTGCATATTGGTAAGTTTGCAGTCTCAAATAAGTTTTTAGTATATGCTTTGTGCTTAGACAAGAGGGGTTGTTCTGATGGTAAGCAACCTCCACTTCCAACCAAGAGGTTGTGAGTTCGAGTCTACCCAAGAGCAAGGTGAGAAGTTCTTGGAGGGAAGGATGCCGAGGGTTTATTTGGAAACAGCCTCTCTACCCCAGGGTAGGGGTAAGGTCTGCGTACACACTATCCTCCCCATACCCCACTAAGTGAGATTATACTGGTTGTTGTTGTATTATATGCTTTGTGCTCCTTTTCTTTAGTTAAGTTTTCATGTTTAGAGGATGATAAATGATATTGAAGTGAAGCAACTCGTTTAGGTCAATATTTATTTCATTCTGCAGTATACATGGGACAGTGCAGCCAAAAATTAGAGACAGTACTCATTTAGCTATCAATACAATGGATATCTTGATACATAGACAATCCAATATTCATCTCAATAAGTAGCCATTTCAATTCCTCCCTTGTTCTTATAGTCCCCAATTGGTGCATCATATTTGCTGAAAAGTCTGTAAGAGGAAAGCAGAGAAATCCCTACATAACAAAGGCCTACAATGAATGTAATGGCCACAGATTCTGTTGCCTTTCTGCAGAAACCTCCGAATAAACCGCATGTTTCACTCCATGTAACAGCCGTGTCGCCTTTATACGCCAAATATACCACCTCTGTTGATGCAGCTCCAGCAGCTAATATTACATACGTCAAGATCTGAAAGTAAATTCTTTATACTGTCAGTGTATAAATGTTAAACTCGAAAGAAAGACTTATTGTCTAATCGATGTAGGAATGCTTTTAAAACTTGAATAAGATCGACGTTTGTTGTACTATAAATGGGAAAAGAACCTGATCAAGGAGGAAGAACGTCCAGGCTTTAGGCATAGTTGTAGGACGAGGAACAGCTGATACTATAGCTGATAAAAGGGAATAAGCTGCACAAATTCCATTTGCATGTACAAGGTACCTGCAGCAGATTCAAACATTTCACCCACATAGCTTCAGGGGCGGAGCTAGAGGCTGAAGTACAGGTTCAGTCGAACTCAGTAGCGTTTGTCCAAATTCTGTATTTATATTAATAATTTCACTAAATATATACAAAAATAAAGTTCTGAACCCAATGACTAACACCGTATGTCGCCATCTTATGAATTTAGAACCCTTAAAGTTCAATTCATGGCTCCTCCTATGATAACATTATGCAAGTTGCTATTTAATTTACAAGTTGGAAACCAACCATCGGGGTCAATTTTTGCTAAATTTCAGACTTTTTTCATAACAAAAAAGAATTTCCATAGGGATAGATAGAACATGAAAGAAGGCTAATAGCTATCTCAAGAAAGTATATGAAAATTCAGAAGTATGATGATTTTACATATACATATGAGGAATAGATAATGTGCGTGTGTATACACTTACAATATAAAGATTTATTTACGTGATCGTTGTAGTTTAACCTTTTTATAATAGTTTATTTACTAATTTACCAAGTTCGCTAGTCAAATCACTAATGCTATCATTAGTGGTGCAACCAGGAATTTACTGAGAGGTACACACGAATAAGCTAATTGGATTTAATATATATGCATAAAAAAATTTGACCTAGCTGCACAACGTAATTTTCTAGTAAAACTTAAGGTGTCTACGATATTGCTTATCACGAAGGGGAGCCTTGGCGTAATTGGTAAAGTTGTTGCCCTGTAACCAGGAGGTCACGAGTTCAAGCCGTGGAAACAACCTCTTACAAAAATACAAGATAGGACTGCATACAATATACCCTTGTAGTCCGATCCTTTCCCGGACCACCCACATAGCGGGAGCTTAGTGCACCAAGTTGCCCTGCAGAAAACTTAAAATTATAGGGAAATAGTTACCTGAAGGTTCCAAGGTCAGAGTAAGAAAGGGAACCAAAGTCATTGGTTTGGGAGTTCTTGAGCATGATTACAAGAGCCACTACACACAGTGCCATGGGCAGTAAGCGCAGCATTGTCTCAGCCGTGCGCATGCTGCTGCTGCTACCATTTTCATCCTCTAGGCCTTGTGGTGACCCCATTACAGCACCGAACCCGTAACTAATATTGTAGCTCCGCCTCTGTCTATACTTGACTAAAGATAATGGCAATGGAGAAAGTGAGAGGGAGATTCAAGAGAGATGGCCCCTACTTACTAATAATGAGCTTAGATAAGAAGTTGGGTAGTTTGGCATTTAATGCATATAAAAACTTGCCACACATTTCTATGCAACAAATTAAGGCAACCTCATTATTGGTATTAACTATGCATTATGGAGAACCAAGAGGTTGCTGTGATGGTAAACATCCTTCGCTTCCAACCAAGAGGTTGTGAGTTCGAGTCTCCCTAAGAGCAAGATGGGAAGTTCTTGGAGGGAAGGATGCCGGGGGTCTATTTGGAAACAGCTTCTCTACCCAAGGGTAGGGGTAAGGTCTGCGTACACACTATCCTCCCCAGACCCCACTAAGTGGAATTATTAAGGGTTGTTGTTGTTGTTGTATGCATTATGGAGAACATATATAGAAATCTCTTTTTCCATAATGACAACAAGAGCCAGTTTGCCCTTTAGATCCTCCAATTAATGCATTTATGGAGAATATTAAAGATATATATCTTTGTTTCTTGGAGATATGGCAGAGAACTTCTATAATTTGCTGCACTCAGTAAATTTTCTATGATAGAAAACAGGTGAAAATAAAACTGATATGAGCTTGCTTTTCTAATAAAAAATTAGTATACTTCCTCGGTCATCCACTTAAATTGACCTTTTTTGTGGCCACAATATTTAATTTTTTAGTTATCAAGCAGGGGTTGCTCTGACGGTAAGCAACCCCCACTTCCAACCGAGAGGTTGTGAGTTCGAGTCTCCCCAAGAGCAAGGTGGGAAGTTCTTGGAGGGAAGGATGCCGGGGGTCTATTTGGAAACAGTCTCTCTACCCTAGGGTAGGGGTAAGGTCTGCGTACACACTACCCTCCTCAGACCCCATTAAGTGAGATTATACTGGGTTGTTGTTGTAGTTATCAAGCAGGAGTTAATTCCTTTTTTTCAAAGTTATCCTTAAAGTAAAGAGTCTTGAAGCATATGTTATATTTCAATAAACAAATTAAAGAGATAGTAAAAGTTAATATGGTCAATTTCATTGTTAATTAATGTTAGAAATTGGATTCCTTATTATGTGTAAAAATTACCAAAAAATCAAATAATGTAGGCCAGAGAAAGTATGTCATACCCCTAAGCTTTATCCCAATTTCTATTGACAAACAAGCATTTTTTCAATATAAGCAGAGACAGGTCTAGGATTTCTTGAATATGGGTGCACCACTAAGAAAAACAGGAAAAAAAATATTAAGTAAAAATCGATCCTTGTCCCTCAGGATAAATAACCCAATATTCAACCAAGTGCACCATTCAATCTTTTTGTAGCATGGGTGCCAACAGATTATATTTGACTAATTCTAAAAAAATACGTACGTAAAATATGTAGTTTGACGGTGAGACCACGAGTTCACGTATCCCATGATAGGGGTTATAAATCCGCCCCTGAATATAAGGTAATTAAGCTCAAATTTAATTTCATAATAGAGGCCAAGGGCTTTGATCCCGTGGTAAAATTATAACGCGTGATGTAGGTTCGAACTGTGCCAAGACATAAATATAATATCAACAGATTATATTAGGCTAATTCTAAAAAATATGTACATAAAATACCTAGTTTAACGGTGAAAGTACGGGTTTGCGTACCCCATTATTGGGGCTATAAATTCGCCCCTGAATATAAGGTAATTAAGCTCAAATTTAGTTTCATAATAGAGGCCAAGGGCTTTGATCTCGTGGTAAAATTATAACGCGTGATGTATAGGTTAAACATACGGTGCAGGTTCGAACTGTGGCAAGACATAAATCTAATATTGTATTTAAGTAAAAAAGGATGAAATTCAAAAATAGCCAGATTTACAAGTGGTAATTGAAAAATAGCCATAATTTCAAAAGCAATCGAAATTTAGCCACTTTTTATGTAAAGATAAATTTGAACGAAAACACTGTTCAAAATTCGAAAAATATTCCAGCATAATATACTAGAGTTCCAGCATAATATAGTGGTCCCGTATAATATGCTGGAAGTTCATACACTGATGCTCCAACCTCCCAGTATATCATGCAGGAGCTTTCCGTGTGTTGGAGTTCCAGCATAATATGCTGGAAGTTCATACGTAGGTGCACCAATCTCCAGTATATTATGCTGAAACTTTACATGTTGCAGCAAAATAATGGCTATTTTTCAATGACTTTGTAAACGCCGTCTATTTTTTAATTAACAGTCTGAAAACTGACTAGACCGTCCTTAGACTCATTTGCCACTACGTTTCGAACCTTAATTTTACAACGATCAAAATGGAACAAGCCCGTTCTCTCTTCTTCTCTAAAACGAAAACCAAAACCAAAACCCTATTTAGAGGGTGTTTGACTAAGCTTATAAGCTGGTCAAACTGACTTATAAGCACTATTTGGCTTATCACATGTTTGGTAAAATTAAAAGTGCTTGTAAGTTAAGTGCTTATAAGTCAAAAATAAGCCAAAAGCCATAAGTTGGTCTCCCCCAACTTATCAAATTTCAGCTTATAAACACTTTAAGTTTGACCAAAATATTTACTATTCTATCCCTAAAATACTTTTTTTTAAAACAAAACTCTTCGTATACACAGTTCTTCAGTTGCATATTATTAATTTTAGCACTTTTATCCAAATACATAACTATTTATTTTTAAATCAGTTTCATCACTTAAAATTCTTTTCAGCACCTAATGCTTATTAGCTAATCTGAATAAGCTAAGCCATGCTGGCTCTTACTTATCTCCATTTCCTCCGCTTCTGGTGTTGTTCAGAAGTGAATCAACGGCCGCCGTCACTGCCGCAATTGGAACCCTCAAACGACGCCGAATTGATTTCCCAAGTGCTCGTCCAACACCACAATCCATTTCACGCCATGGAATCTTCTCTTCAGCTCCACGGCATTTCTCTCACCCCTTTCCTGGTCCATCAAACCCTCCTCCGCTTAAAAAATTCTTCCAAAATTGCCCTCTCCTTTTTCCAGTATTCCCAGTTACTCCCTCGACTCCAACACTTTGAATCTCAAAGTCCACCAGTTCGATGTTGCGTGGCAGATTATTATCCTAATGGAACAGAAATGCATTAAACCCAACTTCACTACTTTCTATTTGTTGATCTGTAGGCTTATTTCTGCTGGTTTGACCCGTCAAGCCATTCGGGCATTCAGTGAAATGCATATATTTATGGATAAAGAAAGTGAAGATCAAGTGTGGAAGTCGTATTTTTGTTATCTTCTTGACACCCTTTGTAAATATGGATATGTTAAAGTGGCTACTCAAGTGTTCAATAAGGAGAAGTGGAGATTGGAGCTCAATTGTAAGATTTTATACCATTCTCATATATGGTTGGTGTAAGGTGAAGAATATAGATATGGCTAGGATGTTTCTAGGAGAGATGTTGGAGAAGGGAATTCATCCGAACGTGGTGAGTTACAATGTGTTGTTGAATGGGATTTGCAGGAGAGCGAGTTTGCATCCTGAAGGAAGATTTGAGCAGGTAATTAGGGAAGCAGAGAAGGTGTTTGATGAAATGACTGAACGAGGTGTGGAACCGGATGTGACCAGCTATTCTGTACTACTTCATGTCTATAGCCGGGCTCATAAGCCGGAGTTATTACTTGATAAATTAAGGATTATGAGACGCAAAGGGATATGCCCAATATTGTGACATATAGCTCAATCATCAAGTGCCTCTGCTCTTGTGGTAGGATTGAAGATGCTGAGCTTTTACTCGAGCAAATGGTTTCTAATGGAGTGACTCCCACATCCGCAACTTACAATTGCTTCTTTAAAGAGTACAAAGGGAGGAAGGATGTCGATGGTGCATTGAGGTTATACGAGAAAATGAAGCAGGGTTCCCTCTCAGACCCCACTTTGTGGGACTTTATTGGGTCGTTGTTGTTGTTGGTTCCCTCTGCCCACCTAACGTGAGTACGTATAATATATTGTTAGGGATGTTATTGAAATTGCGTCGAATAGGGCTGGCCAGAGATATTTGGGAAGATATGAAGGCTTCTGGATCAGGGCCTGATTTGGATTCATATACATTGTTGGTTCATGGATTTTGCGAGAAACAAAAATGGAAAACGGCCTGCGAATTCTTTATGGAAATGATAGAAAAAGGATTTCTGCCGCACAAGGTGACCTTTGAGACACTTTATAGAGGCTTAATACAATCCAATATGTTGAGAACCTGGAGAAGTTTAAAGAAAAGGCTTGATGAGGAAACAATAACTTTTGGTTCAGAATTCGAAAATTATCACCTCAAGCCTTATAGAAGGTGATCTGATCAAGTCTTGAAAGGGCTGATGTCAAGCTAAACTAGAGCTAACCGGTATGTCCAAAGGCGGATTTAGGATTTGAACTCTATGGGTTCAACCTCTAATATTCTTAGCAATGAACCCATTGTATTTTTAAAGTTATGAGTTCATATTTACTAGTTTTTGTAGTTTTGATGGATTTTTACACCTAAATATATGTTCCGCGCAGTGGCGAAGCTAGGGTTGTTCATTTGGATCATATATCCGAAATCTGAACCGATCCGTTCAATTTCGGATTTCGGATTGTGTTTATTAAAATTTCGTATTTCGGATCGGATTGTGTTTATTAAAATTTTGGATTTCGGATCGGATTCGGATTGGTATAATTTTAATCCAATCTGATCCGATGCGAAATCCAAAATTATTAGGGTATGTATAAATACTAAACTTTAATTTCGGATAGTCAGTACTTCCTTTACATCTTCCTCCAAGTTATTACCTTTACAATTGCTCGATTTAGCTATATTGGCGCCATAGTACTCTCATAATTGCATAAGCATGAATTTTTCTTACTGTATTGCCTCTTTTGCAAAGAAAATATACATATGAGTTTGCAACTTTGAGGCATAATAATCCGATCCAAAATCCGAAAATTCGATCCGATCCAAACTTTAAAATCTGATCCGATCCGATATTAATTCGGATCGGATTCGGATTGCATTTTCTAGAATCCAAAATTCGAAATCCGATCTGAAATATGCTAAATCTG